CGTGAAGTTCACATGTTAGCTGGGGTAGGCGGATAACAAATAAATGATAAAGCGTGTCAGACGGTGACAAGTGCAACGGAAAAATAATTACACAGGAAAGGGGGCCGAGGACTGCAGTGGATCGTCAGGACAGAGAAAACAGTGGCACTAACATAAAACCCTCGACAGGCGCCGTCCTGTGTTGTGAATGGCACATGTATTTCAAGTTCACTATTATGTTAACTTCCCATATGCGACTACAAACACATAAAGTCAGCGTTAGGTGGCAAGCTCAGGAGCACCAGCCTTGCGGGGCCCTGGGAGATGTATTTCTTACGCCAATATCCTGACTGTCCAATTGCTCACCACTTTAGAGCCTGGATGTCCGCTGGGAACAGGCCTACCGTTTAAGACTGAGTACTTTTTAAGATCCGGTATATAAAAAATACAACTTCACATACTGGCATTGTTTCTTCGAGAGCATTCTTTTCCGAGTCCCTTCCATGGACAGGGTGCCTCCTCAGGGTGACGCCCAGAGTGTGCGACGTGGTGGGGGACGAGAACGATGCTGCAGTGCAGCGGCGGTGACGGTTAAATCCATCCCCTTCGTGAGTGCTCAGAAAGATGCGACTTTCTTGGGAGAATGGGCTTTCCTGCCATTATAATTGTCATTTTCATCAAGGGGTGACTGAAGATATAGTCAGAACTAGAGTGGCTATTTATTAAGCATTGATTATGTGCTGGGCTCCCTACTATACATAGTATGACCTTGTTTACTGCTCAGAATAACCTCACGAGGCTGGCCCTGACTACTATGCCCATTTAACAGATGGGGGGATGGAGGCCCAGGGAGGATAACCATGCCCATGGTCCCAGAGCAGGAAAACAACCAAGCTGGGACCTGGTCGGGGGTAGGGGGTCTGGGGGTCTGAGGAGAGGTCATTTTGCACAGCCCAAAGAGTCCTTGGTTGGGGCCCTGGCTCTGCCACGCCCTCTGGGACTCGGCAAACCCTCCACTCCTGGGTCTCAATGACCACCAACCACACAACTCAACGGCTGCGCCTGGGGTCTCTACATGCCCTTCCAGCTCTGGATTGCTAACGAGTCCCAGCAACCAGCATGCACGGGGACTCAAGCCTGGTTCATATAGATGTCCCGAATCCAGCCTGCTCACAAAATCAGCTAAATCCCCTGCGCGTCACATCTATTTCTGCCCTGCTGGGTCATAAATACGTGGGCCAGGGAACCAGCTTTAGCAGAACTGGAGAGACTGAAGTCATGGCTATAAATACGGGGTCAAGGCTGGCTGGGGTCGGGCAAGAGGTGGGGCAGGGCCAAAGCCAGCCGGGGAAGCCATGACCCAGGAATCTGTTCTCCTGCGCACACAAAAAATGGAGGTCCAGAGGGGGCGGGGACTGGCCCAAGGCCCCTCCCGCCGGTGAGCGTCAGAGGTGGGCCGGGGCACAGGCTCCTGGCTCTAAGAAGCAGCCGCTTCTTGTGTTACCTGCTGCCTGTGCTCACCAGTCCCTCTCACCCCATCTGAGGGGTCAAACTGGCCTCGCCCCATTTGAACAGGAGCAAGATATGATTTAAGTTTATAAAATAAACTTAACATATGGCTTTTTACCTATTGGGTATATTGAGGTTCTCAAATTTTCATGGGGAAGAGGGTTCTATGACTAAAGATTCAAACAGTTTCCGACCACAACCACCTCTCACTCAATAGGACCTTCTGCTCACCACGCAGAGTGGCCCAGCTGTGCGCTGGGGCCGCCAAACTGACCCAGCAGCCGATTGTGGGAATCACTTCCCAAATCTCATAGCTTAGGATCAGCCAATGACGGTGGGAGTCATTACACCATGCAGATGGGCAAATGCTGCAAAGTGGGGCTTTTTTTCCTGCAGGAGAGCCAGCTGTTAAGCGTTTGCCAGCACACCACTGATCAAGACCTTGACTGGTGGATGCCTACCATGCCTGCTTCCTGGCTGGCTAAACTTGGGCTGTGAGCCTCCACCTTCCCATCTGGAAAGTGGGAACCATAGCCACACCTGCACCGTGGCTACCATGAGGGCCATGTGAGCTTGTGCCCCTAAGGGTTAACACAGCAGTTTCCAAACTTGCCTGCATTTAGATCACCGGAGGGTCTTTGACACATTCCAAAGCCCTGGCCACACTTCGGACCATTCAGGCACAACCTCTGGGGGCACCAGTATATTTGTGAGATTTTCCAGGTGACTCCAGCGTGCAGACAGGTTTGGGAACCGCTGGCTCACATTGCCTGCCTCTTCGCAAGCCCTCGGCAGCTGTCTGGGAACCACAGAGAGCTGGGGGGCAGCATGGACCCCTCATTCCTGCTTCATTTAACTCATGGGGCGAAACTGTATTAAAACAGTGGTGGGGACGTATTTGTTTGCTCCGTGTAAAGGCCTAATCTCCCTAAAGCGTGCAGGAGGTGCTGCTCCCAGGGCCCACAGAAGGAAGGCCTTGGGCCTCCCCCTCCAGATGTGCATTTGCCCACCCCCCACCACTCCAGGCAGATGGGCCACGAGTTTATAAACCCCAAAGAGGCCTCACTTCATGTGGTGCTCAGCTGGCCCGCTGGGGAAACGGAGAGACTTCAGTCTGGTCTCTCTCTCTTCTCTTAGAAAGAGTGGCTTAGAAAGAGGCTGCCTCCTCTCAACCCAGAGGCCAAGGGCTCCCAGCTTGGCTCAGCTTGGGGGCCATCCAGCTGCTAGCCTGGAGGACTCAGATTAAGAATAGAGCCCTGGCTGGCGTAGCTCAGTGGATTGAGCGTGGGCTGCGAACCAAAGTGTCGCAGGTTCGATTCCCAGTCAGGGCACATGCCTGGGTTGCAGGCCAGGGCCCCCAGCAACCGCACATTGATGTTTCTCTATCTCTCTCTCTTTCTCCTTTCCTTCTCTCTCTAAAAATAAATAAATAAAATCTTAAAGAAAAAAATAGAAATGTCATTTTCTGGAAGCTTCAGCCCAGCTTCCCCCTGGACCACCATCCGCAACAGCCAGTGATATAAAACAATCGCAAGAGTGGCTAACATGTACTGCACCCTTCCTGTGCACTGGGATACAGCACAGTAAGCACCTTAAAGACGGTCTAGTGCGGAACTGCGCGGTCCGGAACGGTGCCCCAGCCACGTGTGCCACTGAGCGCTGGTCGCGAGTTCCAGCTGAGGTGTGCTGGAAACGGAGACTACGACACACCGGGTTTCCAAGACTTAGTACCAGAGAAGAATGTAAAATGTCTCATTAGTAACATTTTTTAGATTTATTACATGTTAACATGATGTTGCTTCGGATTTAAATACGTGTATTACTAAAATAAATTTTAGAGCTTTCTTTTCTCACCTGTTCCTTTTTCCTCTCTCAGCGCGGCTGCTAGAACACTGAAAACGACACTTGGGCTCACACAGACGTCGCTGGGTGGCGCCCGCCCGGAGGCCGGGAGGGCCCGCCGTCTGGTGCTCCCTGGGGCTGCTCCCTGGCTGTGAGTTGTATTCTGCTTCCTGCCGCTTGCCAGCTGTGAGACCCTGGACAAGTAACGTGACTCTCTGTGTCTCGGTTTCCTCATCCGTAAAACTAGGATAATAATTGTACCTACCTCTCGTGGTTTTGGTGTGGATTTAATGTGCCCAGCAGAGAGAAAGCACTCAGTAAAGATTAGCTTATCAGGGGACCATTTGGCACTAAGCTGAGTTATTTCACTGGATTACCTCATGCCTCTCAGTAGGGGCTGAGCTGCCTGTCAGTGGTAGGGAACAAGCAGAGCCTGGGAAACTCCTTGGCAGGCTAGTCTAGAGGGAGTCCAAAAATTGAGTGTGGGTGGGGGAGGCATTGAGTGGGGTGGTCTTTGAAGATGTCACCCAGCGCTGACACTAAATTATGCTTCTGTCTGCCCGTGGCTTGGGGCTCCCCACTAAGCCTCTCTTATCTGCTACATTCTCCCTTTCTTTCCCAAAGTTTCACTCAACCCAGCTGAATGTAACGAACACTCACTGGTGCCACTGGGGGCCAGCGTCGTGCAAGACACCATGCAGGGAACAGAGGGGAAACGGAAGTGGGTCCTGCCACCGGGAGTCTGGCGTGGGCAGCAGGGCCTAAGACAAGGGTTGGAATATCCATAAAACAAGGTGGGGGAGACAAGGGCCATGAGGAGCGATTTAGCCTCCCTAGGCTTCAACTGCCCCATCTGGAAAAGGGGACCAATAACTGCACCATCCCCTAGGCAAGGACGTGGGGATATAAGGAAGGGACGTGGGAGAAGCCCCAGGCTGGTGCCAGGCACACGGGACAGGTTCAGGAAGCACTGATCAATGATTCTGGTTCCTCCAGGGCTGGCGCCGAGTCTGTTTTGCTCGGCATTCGTTCCCTCAGCAAGAAGCTTTGAGCCTGATGAGGGCTCTGGTATGTTAGTTTGTCCCTCTGCTGGAAAGGACTCTCAGTGAGTGGTGGAGCCGAGATAAAAGAAAGGAATCATCCCCTCCCCTCCCTCCACACACGCAGGATGAAATAAAATAATGAAAGGGAAAGATGTTTTGTCAACAGTTATCCAGAGCTATCATTAAAGACGCACAGGGCACACTTACTGAGGCAATGGTGGGCTGGCTGAACGAATGTGAGGGTGTCACACACTGGACATGCAAGGTCCAGGGGATGGAGGCACAGTCCCAGCTGTCGGGCAGACGAGGAAAGGGGGCAACGGGAGAAGAAGCTGCAGGAGCAGGCCGGAGGGCACTGAGCCTAACCCTGCAGAGGCGACGGTTTGTCCAACCCAACCCCTGCCTCTCCTCGCCGCCGCAGCCTGGCTGAGCACACAGTAGGACGCCCAGCGCTGCTCCTCCACGCTCCGTGTCCACGGCCCTCCCCTGGGCCTGAGAAAAGGGCAATATCACATTGCTGCTTCACGTGACAGGGACAGTGCGGGTGACGGCGCAGATCCCAGTCCCTGGCCCAGAGCCAGAGCCCGGTGCCCTCAGAGACAGTGTGGGGCAGCGGTTCCCCGAGGAGCTCTGTGCACCCTGGGGGCCGCTGAACCAACGATGTGACCTCGGGCGAGTCACTTCACCTCCCCGCGCCTGTTTTTCCATCTGCAAACCGGGGCTAATTACAGTGCTTGCCTTCTAGGGCTGTTGGGAGGATTAAACAAGTTCATGTAAGTAAAGCGCTTAGAGCCCAAGGTGCGCAGGCACGGCAGGTGTTCCGGTGGCTGCAGTGAGGGGCTGTGCCAGTGTGTCAGTGATTGGGGGAGGGGGGAGGGAGGGAGAGCGGCGAGGGGGAGCTAGAAGGAACCGCAGAAACCCTCCGTCCCAGCACCTCGGGGCTTCCACACTGTGTGTCTGTGCCTGTGTGCGCTTTGCATCTGCAGGCATGTGTGTGTTGTGTGTGCGTGCTCGTCTGACTGCATGTGGCTGCGTGTGTGTCTGTGCATGTATGTGTCACACATGTGGCGGGGGGTGTGGGAGTCTGTCTGCAGAGCTGCTGGGAGTGGCCCAGGAGGTGGCTCAGCCAGACCAAACAATCCCAGCACTTCAAGCTCCAGGCTTTTCTCTGGCTGTTTGCTTTCTTTCCCTCCTTCCCTGTTCCCCTTTAACCAGTTCCTGCTCCCAGAGAGCAGAGCGGGGAGGGAGGCCCTGGCAGGGTAGGGACAGGGCCCTTCCCTGCCCCTCACCCCACAGTGGTTTCCCAGTTTCTTGCCTCCAACGTGGTCTTACTGCCACATTGACCCCACACTGGCCCCTCCCCTCTCCCAGCCTCAGTTTCCTGGATTCCTCAGTAGGAAACTGTCCCGCACTCCTGCTGGCAATGGTAATGAATACCAAGTCCCTGCCCTCCACCGCCCGGGCACTGAGGCACGGAACTTTTCCAGGAGGTGTCTGGTCGCGTCTGTGGCAAGATCGGAAACTAGTGCCTGGGGCAGAAGCCCTCCTGGGGCTCCCGAGCCTCTGGTCCCTGGTTCTACCCTCCACAAAGGCTGCGGCCCAGACCGGGGACCAGAGAGACCATTGAGAGGCTCAGCCCAGGGCCTGGCCTCAGGCCTCCAGGTTCCCATTCAGCTAGGTAGTATTCACTGAGCACCTACTATGTGCCAGGAGCTTTAGGGTGGCTCATTTAATCCCCACAACCACCCTATGAGGTAGGTTCTATCTCTTTTTTCCCGATTTTATAGATGAGGAAACTGAGACTCGGAGTGGTTAGGTCACCTTCCTGAGGTTACGCAGCCAGGAGGGGTGTGGCTGGGACTGGTGCAGAGGCCCGAGGAAGAGTCGGCGCCTTTCCCTCATCTCAGGGCACATCGCCCAGAGTCATTCTCTCGTACGTAACATGACAGTGACTCTCTCCCTTCCGGTCAGCAGAGCTATTGACGGGCCTGACACCTTCGACCTATCATTTGACAAGTGCCAGACACAGTGTGTGCCGGGGCTCGTGTGCGTCATCTCTTGAATCTTCACAACAACCCATTTTACGGATCAGGAAGGTGGAGCCGAGGACGCACAGGGACCTGGCGCAGGCCCACAGCTGCAGCGGGAGAGGGGCACAGGTGCCCTTGACCCCTTTGCTCCTTTGTGTCTCTCCCTCCCCGACAGCAAACTTCAGCTCCCCGCTGCCTGGCGTCAACATTGTCGTCACCCGTAGACCTGGAGGTGGCTCTGTAGACAAGCTGCTTTGTCGCCAGCCCACACTCTGCCTTTACAGAACCCAGGACACAGAAAGCAGGGTGGGATCTAATCCCGGGGAGCCCCAGGGCATCCCCATGAGTGGGTAACCTGAGTTTAACCAGAGTCCCTTGCCTCCCTCGGAACCCAGGCTTAGCCCACCAAGGGTGACATATTTAAGGGGACCGCGGTCGTATAGACAGTTCCATTTTCCAATTGAGAGTGTGTCATTAGGGAATGTTTCATTAAACCCACATCCTGCCCTCACAGCAGTGCCACCCCCCACTTCCTAGGCAGGCGGGTTTCTCTAGAGATGCCCACGAAGCTGCCCAATGCATCATAAAGCCGGTCTCTGTTTGCCCTTGACCTGGGGCGTAGCTGCAGGGCCCACAAGGTTGGTTAGAATGTGATAAGTTCTGCGAGCCGGGAGTGTGCCTCTGACCCTGCCCAGCTGCTTCCCCAGGATTTGAAACAGCTTCGAACCTGGGCCCAAGAGTGCAGATGACTCCATCTGACCCGCCTGCTCCAGGCAGCCTGGCCCTAAAGCTCACAGGGCTCTCCCTACCCCCCACCTCAGGGCAGGCACGCTTCTAGAGAAACAAGAACCCCCTGGAAACAGACAGATGTCCCTCCTTCCTAGGACAGAGCTAGAGGTTCCTTCTGCCTCACAGAGGACAATGTCTTCTGGGGCCAGAGGGAAGTCTGAGGTGCCAAGAGGAGTTTGCCCTGGGCTCCTTTCTCTGTACCTGCTGCCTCCCCGAGGAGGGGTCATGAATTCATTCCTCACCCCAGGACGCCATCCCCATCCTTGAGCCAAAGTTTGGTGCCCTCTGCCTGTTGCAGGACGAGACAAGAAAGAACCGTCTGGGAAGCTGCGCCCGCTGCAGGAGAGCAGGGACGTGCCTGCCTGGAGAGCTGCGGGAGGAACCATCAGCAGCGAAGGTCCGCAGGTAAACAGTCATCGTCATGCGTACCAATAAGAGCAAGAGCGGCTGCTCAGTGAGGGGGAGGCATGCAGGGGCCCATCCTCAGTGACACCAGCTCCAACCAGCACAGCCTGGAGAAGTAACTGGGGGGCCCTCCACACCCCTGCACCCCTCCCAGGTCAGTCCTGGGTTGGCACGTCAAACAAAGCCAAGTGGCCGGGGAGCCGAGGCTGAATGGCAGGAAAGGCTGAAGCCAGGCTGGCCCCCGGCTTACCCACCCTGGCAATTCAAAGCGAGGCTGACGCCGGCCAGAGCACTTGAAAATGTCAGTTAGAGAACAATCTCTTTCCCAAACTCCTTGCCTTTGACCTTGGGCACCCAGCCCTGATCACAGGGACGGGCTGATCTGTTCCCCAGCTCTACCTCCTCCATCCCTGGTCCCTTCCCACACGTCACGCACGCACATACATGCACATGCACGCACACAGGCACGCACACGCACACTCAGAGATGACAACTGAGCCTTTCACTCTAATCACAGGATTACAGGGCTGCTATTTTGTGGGGACCCAAAGAGGGTCTACACAGCAGATTGCATCTTGGCGGTGCTTGCTTTGACAGCCAGCACGGACTCTCTGTGGTCATTTAAAATGGTCCAAGCCTCGAGAGAGCCGAGACGCTCAGGGCCTGGGGTCTCCCGGCGGCCCTCAGTCTCCACTCATGTGGGTAGTTTACATTTTGTTGGAATCTACTCGCCGGTCTGATGTGCTTTTGTATAGTTTCCCCCAACATGGGTGAAAATAACAATCCTTCTTAAATGGCACCACGTTGTGAGCTGCCAGAGAGGCGCGCACCGCCCTTTGGGAAACGTGCTCCTGGCTCTCAGCCTGGCACGGTAGAGACGGGGCACCTGAGGTCTGGAGGTCGAGGACACCTGTCCAACACCCACGGAAGGCATGGCAGGGCCATCCCCAGGACCCAGAGCTCAGCTCCCAGCCAGGCTCGCTCCTCAGGGAGAGGACACCCAGCACGGAGCTCCCCTGGGCCTCCATCTGCCACAGAACCTGAGGGCAGCCTCCGGGCTTTCCCCCGGGGCTGAGCCCATGTCCCAGCAGTCCTCCGACCCCCTCCAGGCCCGGACAGCCCCCTGAGTGTCTCCCTGATGCTGTGGGAAGCTGTCCCCTCTCTTGGGCTTGGTTTTCTCACCTTCTAGGGCTGCCGTGAACATGCCACGGTCCTGGCGGTGAGCATTCTGAAAAAGATGAAAACAGACGCGGGAGGGAGATTGTTCGCAGCCCCTTGCTCTCTGCCTCAACCTTTCTCGCTTGGAAATGGGTTGAAGTTTGGCAGGTGGGAGACGGCGGAACTCGCTGGAGGAGAAAGAACGAAGGAGGATGGCGGCCATAGGCGAGTCCCAGAAAAAAGGGCTGTTGCCCGCCGCAGTGTCTCCTCACCCTGGCAGACCCTCCGGGGAGGCAGCCAGCAGACGCCCAGGCTCGGGGGGACAGGTAGAAGTCTGCCCAGGACTCGGGCCACAGGAGGCCAAGAAGAGGGCCAGTTCAGCTCTGTGAGCGGGACGCTCCACTGACCAGCAGACACGCTTACATGTTCACACACACACTCATCCATGCAACACACACACACACACACGCCCCCCGAACTCAGACGGACACTCACACTCTGACGCGCTGTCACTTGTACAGATGCAAAAGACCCCCACCCTTTCCAAGGGGGGCCCCTTCACACACACACCCCCCGAGGCACACGGCGGGGCCGGCCTGCCTCTCTCCTCCCCGCAGAGCCCCAAGCCCCAGGCTTGGCGGCGTCTCCGTCCCGCTGCCTGGAGACACATGTGGTTTCAGTTAGCAGCAGAGCGGGCATTTCCGTCCCAGACAGCGGGGCCCTGCCAGGGCCCCGGCCCCGGTGGCGCCCACAAAAAGGGCCACCTCGCCCCCACGCCTCCCCTGGCCATCCTGGGGACCCCCAAGACCCCTCTCCCCTGGAAGACGCCACTGTCCTCTTCCGAGGCCTCCCCTCACCTGGAGCCAGCATCCGCACGCGCTCGCGCAGGGCCCGGCTGTGCCCGGGCTCCGGCCACGGCTGCCCGCCTGCCTCCTCGATCCTGCTCTGTCTCCAGCAGGCTGAGCAGGATGGGAGGAGGGCAGGGTGTCAGGGGGGCGGGCGGGAGGGAGGGGAGGGGGCGTGTGGAAATGAAACTTTAATAACAGAGCCCCTTTTGTTTCCGAGCATATGGGATATTTCATACATACTGAAGACATTAGCCGTCTATATTTTTAAGGGCTCGGGCTAAAGGATGAATAAATACAGCCCATGTTCGGCTCGGCACACACGCACAGGCACGGGCTGACTTCTGGAGCATTTCAAAACCTCGGAAAACGGCCCCGGTGACACCGGACACTTAAAAATAAATATGTTTCCAAAACCTCAGGCTTGCCTTGCCCCCTCGAACAGCCACCTGGAGGCCGTGGGGCTCCTTTCCTCTCGCCGCCCCCCTTCTTCCCCTTCTGCCTCTGGCTCTGTAGTGGGAAAAGCAAGTCCCCGGAACCCAGTGCCCCCCACCCCATCCCATTTCTCTTTCCTGACATCCCCACCCCCATTAGGACCCCAGAATGTTAGTTAGGAAAGAGCCTGGAAATCTCTGCCTTCCTCATTTCAGAGACAAGAGACCAAGGCCCAGAAAGGGGCAGGGACTTGCCTGAGGTCACACAGCAAATCAGGAGCTTGAGGTCACGGGGCAGTGCCTTCTTCCTTCAACAGGAGAGATCCCCCACTGTCCCACCTCAGGGCTGGGGGCGGGGAGACCCTAGAGGCCCAGAAGGAGGGCCAAGGTGTGGTCTGGGAGCGTGCCCGCCTGCCTTTCCCATTGGAGGGCTGCTCTGGGACCCCCCCAACTCTGGGCACCCATCCAGGGGAGACGGCAGCAGGGCTGGGAACTGGGCCGGTCCCAGGAAATCCCCTTCAGGCTGGCAGATCCCAACAGGCCTGGAGGCCTCAGGTATGGGAGCCTCCCTCCCTGACAGCTTGGCTCCAGGTGTCTTGTGCCTCCAGGAGGAAAAACAGAGGCCCAGAGAGGTCCAGACCTTGGTCAACGTCACGTAGCAAGACAATGGCAGAGCAGAAAACTGAACCTGGGTCTTCAGAGCTTGTGCTTGCTGGCCCACTTGATTCCCTAGCTGCCTCTGGTCCGCGCACCTTCCCCAGAGCCTGCAGTTTTCTCCCCGCCCCCCAGCCCCAGCCCCAGCAGTGGCCTCAGCTTCCCACTTCTGTCAGAGCTCAGTCCCCTTCTCACCAGCTGTCTGACCATCCATTTAGTGTAGTGAGCACAGTGCTGGACCCATAGCTAGTGCCCGTAATAAATGCGAACAGCTTATGACGATGATGTTGCGTCTCCAGCACACACCAAGCCCCACACAGGCACGGGGGCTGCACCTGTGGCCGTGAGACAAGTCCACACCCTCCAGGGCTCCCAGGAGAGAAAGAGCCTCCCTCTTTGCAGGCCTATTCTCTTCATTTGGGGGAAACTGAGGCTTGGAGAGGTCCAGAAGTTTTCCAGGCCACACTGGCAGTAAGTAAGGGAGCAAGTCCTTTAACCAGGACTTCCTGAGGCCAGAGTCGGTGGTCAGAATCTTCAGGGGACTCCCCGAGTGGCCCCAGCCCTGTTCCCAAGGCTGCCAGGACTGTGCCACCACCAAGCGTCTTCACGTTTTGTGGGGACAGGCAGGCAGAGCACCCCAAACCCTCCTCGAAAACGGGGCTTTGATACAGGAGCTGGAGAACTGGGTTCTTGGTCTCAATCTGCCATTGACAGGGTAAGGACCCCTGTCTAGGGACACAGTGTCTCTCCTCTGTGAGGTGGTGATAAGCTGTCGCTGAGCGAGGGAGTCTCTGTGGAATAAAGGGTGTGGCGCATCCCCCTCTGGGGCTTCAAGTCGTGGACGGACCGGCGTTAATCCTGTCGGGGTCCCAACAGGTCCTGCCTGGCCCCGCCTCCAGCAGCGCCCCTCAGTGAACACAGTGTCGGTCCGCAGACGCAGCTTCCCGGAGAAGTCCTGGCATCTTGTCACCTCCCCTCAGTGACCCCATGGCAGGTCCCGATTGCCTGAGTGCAGCCAACAAGTTAGAGGGACATTCAAGATGCCTGGGAACCCGGCCCCACCTGAGTGCTCCCGCCTTTCCCAAGCCAGTGCCAGCCGGGTTCCGCAGGCCTCCGGAAGCCTTCCTGTCCCCCACTGATCTGAGCTACCCCCACTGTCATCTGCCGCCCCTCCTATCATCAGCTTGCCGACCAGCCAGGTCCATGAACGTGGATGCATGAACTTGCCACTCTTGTGGGGACAGCTCAGAGGCCTTTTCAGAAGGAGGCCTCATGTGAGTTCTCGGCCGGGTTCCGCATCAGATGGTTTCCGGGTAAGTGAGAGGTGGTTGTCTCAGTGCTAATTGTTTCATGAGATAATAACAACAGTCTTTCGTGGCGCATGTGCTCTGTGCCAGGCACTGCGCTGGAGTTCCGTGAGCATCGCCTGCTTGCTTTGAGGAGGCTGGAAGGGAGGCCACACTGTTCCCCTGAAGCCCCCCAGCCCAAACTCAGCAGAGCCCACAGCCAAGTGCGGCCTGCCTGGCTGCAGCCCTGCTCTTCCCTGCCTTTTAGGTCAGTATCTTCTTGCCCCAGACAGCACAATCCCCTGGAGGGGTGAGATTCAGGGCCAGCCTTTCCATTGTTCCCACATCCGAGCTGAGCATTAATGGACAGTTGCTGGAGCAAACACTGGAGTGGGCCCGGTGAGAGTCTCTGATGGAAGGAGGTGGTGTAGGTGTGCCCGTGCACACACGTGCTGCTGCCTCAGCATTGCACAGCCCGTGACCACGAGTGGCCCCTGGAGGGCAGGGGGCCCTCACAGGTATGACCCTGCTGTGATGTGCTTGAGGATTCTGACCCCCTCGGTTTCCAGTCCGGCCCAATTCACACCCTCCCTCAGGCAGCCTGGTGGGCCCACTCCCGGGAGGCCACTCTGAGACGGGTGCAGTGTGCTCCAGCCCAGAGCACCTGGGCCCAGGAGCCCTGCCGTGCGTGCAGAGGGTGAGGGGTGGGGAAAGCAGTTCTCAGGCTCAGAATAAGAGATGATAAATACAGGCCTGAAGAAACAGAAGTCCCCGAAGCCCACTGCCTCCTACTTAGCAGAAGTTGCAGGAAGACAGGAGGGATGACCTTAATTCCCAAGGAGGGCACACTAAGGCACTCCACTCAGTTCCCAAAACCTCACTGTTACAGCCTTGCAGGGAGGGAGGTGCTAGCCTCTACCACCCAGCCTCCTCCCCCCGCCCCCGCTAGGGAGCAGAGCAGAAGACAAGTCACCAGGGTACCACCCTCAGAGGCTCCCCTGGCTGGGCACCTGGCTGGGCCAGGTGGTGTAAAGTCGTACCCCACCTTCCTTGTCCCTCTGGCCTCTGGGTGCTGATTCAGGTCTTCAGTGAGTAGGGGGACTGAGACAGGGCAGGAGGTGGCAGCCCCTTTTGGGTCCCCAGCCCCAGTTCAGCAGGACACTGGTGACTGAGCTCTGTCTCCCCAGGGACCTCAGGAGGGCACCCGGCGGTGAGAGGCGAGGACCTCAGGCCCAGGCACCCTCGTCTCTGGCAGAGCAACCTTTGCCAGGGCCCCCGCTGACACAGGAGCCGCCCTGATCAGATCACTGGTAATTGAGTTGCTTTGGGGGGTAAATTCCATCCAGATGTGAAGAGCGGCATGGACTTCCTGAGCGGAGCAGGGGCGGGGTCCTGATACACGGGGGCCATGCAGCCAACTTGCCACGCGCCCACGAGGCCTGACACAGAACACACGGATCTTCTGAAAAAGCCAAAGGTTGGATTTCAGGGCCGGGACATCTGAGTCCAACCTTCTGAGTGGGAAGATGGGGAAACTGAGGCCAAGAGAGTCTAGAGAGCAGAAGGCACTGCTCCAGCAGGAACTGGTGGTGGGTTCTAGATCTCCTGTCTGGCCTAGGTCTCTTAATCTGGGACTTTCAGATAAAAGTAGGCAGGACAGCCCCTTCCCCAGAAACTCCCATCAGGCCTTAGGTTAGGGGGCCAGGAGTGCGGGTCACTGAGTAGGGAATCTGCAGTGGGGAAAGCGCTAATCTCCTCTAGCTTAAACCCCGAACCAGGGAGAGCTCTGCATTTCATGTTCAGAGACTGTGGGGGCAGGGAGAGAAGGTTCCAGGGGAATCCCATAAAAAACATGCCCCCCGCTGCTGCCCCCCTTGCACGCTGTCTTGGGAGAGCGTGGGGCCTGGGCCCCTGTTCCCAGGGGAGGCCCTCCACGCTTCTCCCCTTTGACCTCCTCTGGGCCACATACCTTCCTGGCTCCTCTGGGCGGACTTACTGGAAGGCAGGAAGAGGCCAGCCAGCCCCAGGGAGGTGGGGGGGGGGCACATGAGAACTTGGAGAGAATGAGAGGAAATGAGGGGGGAGTGGGCTGGAGTGGGGGGAGATTAAGAGGGGAATTTTTTTCCTCCTGCCTCATGTTTTGGCTGCCTTAGTGTGAACATGTCTAGGTGCCTTATCGCGAAGACCAGCGTAGTCTGCAGGAGAAAGAAAATAGTGTCTGCAGCGGGAAAACTACATCTTGATAAAAACATCCCTTTGCAATGGCATTGTGGGCCTCTTATCAGCAGGCGGCTGCACCCCACATACCTCTTGTCTGGCTGTGCCCAGGCCCCAGCCTGCTCTCTTTCTCCCCCCTCCCCTGGCCCCCTACCTTGCTGCCCCTGTGTAACGTGGGCTGGGCTAACACTGTCTGGGAAGTTAGGAGACCCGAGTTCTATTCCTGTCTCTGTCATGGATGCTGTGTCACCTGCACCAAATCCCTCTGCTCTCTGGGCCTCAGTTTCCCCTCAGTAAAGGGCAGGGAGGGAAGGACGGACCAGGCGGCTCTGAAGATCCTTCCAGCGTCAGCACTCTGTGGAGCTGACATCTGCACACTCCGCGGCTCTGTGTGTTATGAAAGTGTCCAACCTCCGTTCAAAAACTGTCACCGGCTGTCTCCAGTCACGAGTCTGCAAATCCTCTTTATTGCCATTGGACACCTGAAGCTCTTGCCTAAATCCCAGGAAAAGCCACCTAACCCAGAACTTTCGCAGCCGAGGAGGGGTCCTTCTTAGCTCCCACCTCAGAAGTCTTGGAAGAGCATGAAGCTTGCAAATGCAGGGGACACACGTATTTTTTCCCACAACACTTCCTACTCGGAAATCCACGTAGAAAACCAGGCGAAGCAGTTGGGCTGGCTGTGACCCACGCTCCTTAGCCCCTACCCTCTGGCGGTGTGCACACGATGGGCCTCGACTTCATGCTCTGAAAATGTGGAGGGCCAGTGCTCCCTGTGCCCAGCCGGCCAGGTGGTTGAGAGATAAACTAAGGGGAAAGTAGGAAAGTACGCTGTAAACCATTAGAGCTTATTGTCCTCAGCCAGAAGAATCTGGATTCCTGAACTTGAGACCTGGGAGGGCTTTTAGAGGCCATCTGTTCAAGTCCTTCCCCTGCAGCTGGGGAGACTGAGAGCCTGAGGGGTGGGAAGGGACTTGGCGAAGGCCACGTGGTAAGACAGCAGGAGAACCAGGAAGGGGCCCAGGGGAGAGCTGGGGCAGTGGTGGGACCCCGCCACTGACGGTGTTCAAAGGTAAGAGATGCCATCCGACAGGAAGGCCGGTCCACAGGTTGGGGAGGACTTCTTGATTTTTAGGGATCCTGCCCAGTTTGGGGATTCCTTACCAATGACCCCTCTGAGATACTCAGAGCTTGGGCTTTTCCCCTTCCAGCCTCCCGACCTTGCAGGGAGAAAGCCCTTTTGTGTAGCAGCCAAGCCCCGGCTGTGACCCGTGTTTTTTTCCCTGAAGACCTTCCCCCTGGCAGAGAAGCCTCGGCTGTACTCCCCCGACCCCACCCTGCCAGTCTCTCTGGCTGCCTCCCACACCGCCCTCCAGCCTGAATCTTGGCCTGCTCACAGGATTCCACAGAGGCCCTCTGTCCTCTGACCGTCTGGGTGGCAGGGCGTGGGCAAACACTCGTGTGATAGTCTGCAGGCTGCAGAGGACGGGGCCAGGCCGCCATATAACCATGCAGGCACCTCCCTCCTCCTGGCAGGACAGCCCCTCCCGTACCTGACTTCACCCGTCTTCTCGGTTCATCTCGCTTTGCCACCCCAGAGCCATGCACTGCTAGAGCAGGCAGACCCCTCGAGGCCACGACTGGCACATGTGCAGTTCCCAGAGCACCATCCGCCTCCCACACACGGCCCGTTTTCCCACGGAACCCAGACACTGCCTCAGAACGCTTCTCATCACAGAACTCCAGACTTGGGCTCTCCGGCACCAGTCAATCAGAACAGGCACAAAAGGCTTTACCCACGGGAATAGGCCAAACCACTCACAGTACATAAAACAGAGAGAGCTAAGGCCAGAAAGGAGAGGGACTTGCTTGAAGCCACAGCAAATTAAGGACTGAACAGGGAACAGAGCCCAGCTCTTCAGGGCTCTTCCTGCAACTCCTACTGGTTCTCTCCTTGCCCTGGCTCCCAGTACTACCCACGGGCAACCTTCGCCTCCTCCCTACAAGAAGATAGTACACAAGTCAGGGCCACCCAGGCAGCGGCCCCAGTCCCAGGCCCTAGACCAGTTTCCCTGCAAATGAGGGAACTAGAAATCAAGTCGTAAGTGGTACGGTTCAAAGAAATGGGTCTATTTTCTTAATGGGTCTATAGTCCAGGGGGCTATCATCAGAGCTGACAAATCTGTGCAGGACCCTCCTGGGGCACAGGGGAGCACTTTGTTAAGCGAGGGGAACTGCATGTACAGAGATGGAAGGAAGGAATCTACAGTGATGGAAGGCTACAGGAAGGCAGGTTTCTGTTCATTTGAAGGAAGGGCTTTCTCACAGTCAATGCTGCCCAACCATGGAAAGAGCTACCTTGGTAGGTAGTGAGCTCCCCATCACTGGAAGATTGCAAGCAAGTTTTAGATTCTCACATGGGGTAGGCAGGGGCTTAAGGAGGTATTAGAGGAGATGCCCTCAAAAGCCCTTTTGTGTCCCGAGAGGGTGTGATCTAGGCAAACACATGCAGCCACTCACGCTCATAAGTCACAGTTCCTCAAACACAAGCCCCTCTGTCCTCTGAGAGCAGGGTCAAGGCTTTATCCCGGAGGCATGTCCTCAGTCTCTCAAGCCCTGGGGTTGAAGGGGGGAAGGGTGTTCAGAGCTCCAAGCTCGCTGCCCCAAACTCAAACTTG